GCTGAGGGCTGGCTTCCTCCAAAAAGTGAACTGAAAACGAGAGAGCAAGCTTCCGCCCCAGCGCCTCTGCTAGGGAGGGTGTTGGCACCACTGACATCCTGAGTTACATTTTAATTTGCTATTTTGAGCTCTTCCAGCACCTCAAACCAGAGAGTACACACTTTCTGGTGGCAATGAGCACTTTTCCTGGGTGCCTAGGACAGTGTCATAGTCGCTCCTCATGAGGACCCTGTGAACCAGGCCTGGCCAGGGTCCCCTCCTTACAGATGAGGAAACAGGAGTTCAGAGAGAAAAGGTAACTTGGTCAGGCAGGGGTGGCACTGGGAGGCAATCCCATGGCTGCTAACCCAGATATGCTGGCTCATGGGCGCAGCTGGAGCCACAGGCCAGGGACACTGACCCCCAGGGTGAAGAGAAGTTGACAAGTCAGTAGGTACAGGCTGGAAGTGCTTGCTTCCTTGGCACCCACAGAACTCCCAGCCAGCCCGTCCAGCTGTTGGAAGTCAGCAAGGGAAAGAGAGAGAACGGCCAGGCCCCTCGGGATTAGCCTGGCTCCTGCCAAGGACTCTTTCGCCATTCCAGTGCCTACCCTGGACTCCACCCTTCATGTGGTTCTGTTCAGAGGCAGCCTGAACTGCCCTGCCTTCATTCCTCCAGAGCCCCTGTCTCCAGCCCCAGGCCTGGCCTGCAAGGATCCCTCGGTGATCCAGTAGATTTGTACGGACTCTGCTTGGCAGCAGCTCCCTTTTGGTGCCACTTCAAAGCAAGGGCCGCCCAGGTGTCAGAGCAGCTGGCATGTTAGAAGGCCTCTGGCAGGAAGGGCTGTTAAGCCAACTGCCACAACTGGAAAACAGTACATGTGGATGACCTGTCTCCGGGAGAGTCCTTCCTGAGCCCTCGGGGCTGGAGGGTGGAGGGGGCGGTTGGAGGAGCCTGGTTTGAGTTCAGGCTGAAGGAGCTGCCCTTGGCCTGTAGGACCTAAACCAGGGCTTGTCTCTGTCATTTAAGGCAAAGACAGGCCTGTAGCCTCCTGCCTGTCTTCCCCTACTGTTCTGCCAAGATTCCAGTGCCAGACACCAGAACGTTCCTGGGTCAGGGCGTGAGTGTGGAGAGTGTGGAGATGGACGGTGCAGCAGGCTGTCTCTGAAGGTACCTTTCTCAGTCTGTCAGACTTTCCTGCAGCCACAGTTCTCCGAACGTTTTCCCTAACAGAGCCAGCACTCACAGGAGAAGCTATCGGCACTGTCCCCCCTCGGACAATACTCTGTCAGAGCTGGAAGGAACTATCATCATAGTTTGGGGAAGTGTGAACCTTCAGGCTTCAGCTTAAATGTCTCTAGCAACAAGCAGCTCACTCCCTCACGGCAGCCGCAATCCAGAGCGGGGCAGCTTGAAGAAATCTTCTAGTGCCAACCTCTAGATCCCTGTGACATCTCCTGCAGAGGCAGTCCTTCAAGAGTCGGGTCTCAGCTTTCTCTGAGCTCCAGGAGAACACACCCTTCTGCTGTCCTGGTTTGCAGACTGCCCTCCACCCTCACGGCTATCCCAAAATTCTAGTTCATTCCTCTTAAATGCACAGTGCAGGCTGAATATCCTTTTCAGATGTCACCTTCCCAGGGAAAAAGAAGAGGGTCCTGTGGCCCCTCTTTTTCATTTGCTTATACTTTCCTTAATTCAGCCAACATTTCCTGAGGGCCTACCGTGTGCCCTGCCCCATGTTGGACCCTGGAGTCAAGCAGCACTCAGAGACAGAAGTATCACCTGGTGGATCTTAGGCCACTGGGGCAAAGACTGGCAAAACTGGTGTGGGAGGGGGGAGAGAACTTGGGTGCCACTGTGGGTGTCCGGGGCAGGGAAGGCAGGCTTCCCAAAGAGATGCTATGTGAGCTGCAACTGGGAAGCGCTGAAGGTCGTTGTGGCTGGCAGAGGATGGAGGCTGCGGCCTGTAGGGGAGATATAGATCATGTGGGCCTATAAGCCAGGATAAAGGTCGGGGGTCCTGGCAGTAAAAGGCTGTGAAGGGCTTTAAACCGAGTTGTAAAATGATCAGATTTGCATTAAAGAATCATCCTGACCACAGTCACTCAACTAGAAGGAGGCAAGCTGGTTGCAGGAAACCAGCAGGTCACCCAGTTGTCCAAGAAGAAGAGGTGGAGGTGGGCATTGGATGGTGGCTGTGGAAGGGGAAAGATGTAGAGGTATCCCAGAGAAATGGCAGGGTTAGGACTGACAGGACTGGCCTTTGATTGATGGGGGGTGGGCCAGGAGGGAGTTGCCAAGATGCCTGGACCCCTGGGTCACTGGCCAAGCCCAGGAGTGAATGATGTTGCCAGGAATGAAAGCTGAGCTCCATTTGGCTTTTTTGGCAGCCAGTCTTGCTACTTGTAATTAAGAAATGCTCTCCGTCCTTTGCACACTGGGATCCAGCCACAGGTCCCTCAGAAAGCAAGCCCCCCTCATGCCTGCCTCCCCCATAGCCGGCTTGTCCCTCCTGACTTGCATAAGGTGCAGCCGGCCAAGGAGCAGGGCCAAAGCCAGAGCACCCACAGAATGCCCCCGACACCCTGGGATCTCCTGCCCTCTAATGGCAGTGTTTTCCCTTGTCCGGTCCACAGCCGCCGGTCTTCAGAGAGAGTGTGGTGGGCACAACCAAGAACAGCCCCAGCAAAAGTGGCAGGCCAGTCCTGAGCAAGAAGGGCGCCCCATTTGCAGATGACAGTATTCTCTGTCGCCCCGAAAAGAAGATGCTGCAGAGACTGGCTTCCAAGCCCTGGCATGGCAGGGCCTGTTTCGGGGGCCTTTCAATTAGTGCGGATTAGAACTACTTCTGGATTTAGCCAGTGATGGTGACAGGTGATGGCTGCACAGCTTTGCAAATATACTAAAGTATACAATGCATCCTTCAAAGGGTGGATTTTAATTTTATGGTATTTCGATTATATTGAGACATAAGTAAATGACTAATGGTAAATGGAGGTAACTGCTGGAAAGAGGAGTCCTGGTTGATGCTAAACATGAGAAGCCAAGTCACATCTTCAAAGGTTTTGGTTTCCTGCTTGGGGGTGTTCTCAGCCTGGCCCTCTTCCGGAGTAATTAACTTCAGGCCCTTTGGGTTCTTTGCTGTCCCAGGAGCGGGGCAGGAAGGAAAGGCCTTTCCTTCCCAATGGAGACTGGGCGGGAACACCTCCGAGGTGCCCTTCCTCACCGAGCACTCCCGCAGAGCTCACATCCCCGCAGCAGCCTGGGTATCTCTCCACCTCTCATCTCTCCGCACCATCCAGATAGCAGAGCTGTCCCCTCTCTCTCTTTTTGCCTGACTAATTCTCAGGTTGCGGGAACCGGGGCTCGGTCCATGGCCTACGCAGGCCCGAGCCACTGGTGGAGACCAGGGCGCCCTCCTGTGGCCATAGGCAGCGTTGCTACTTCTCACCCTCTGGCCTTGCGTTTTTCCCAGCTGGAATTTTAATGCTGAACTCCGGTCATTGAGGCAGCTTTTTCTTCCCCAAGAGATAAATAAGAGTCAAGATTCTCAGATTAAGTGAAGAGAAAGAAGATAAATAAGCCACAGTAGTTACAACAAACTGTTAGCATTTGTATGCTGTCTTTATTCCAAGAGGCAGTGTGACCCAATGGGGAGCGCACAGCCCGGGGAGCGGCCTGGCCAGCTGTGTGAGCTCAGCAAGCTGACATCTCTGAGGGTTAGCTCTTCGCTGTAAAATGGAATTAATAACAAGACCTACCTCACAGCTTGTTGTGGGATAAAAGTACTTACAGAGGTTGAAGACCGTCCATAGCTCCACGAGGCCAGCTACTAAGTAAGTGGTACCTACTTCAGTTGTTAATCATCATTACAAGTAAAGACTGGAGACTAGATAGAGGAGTCCTTTCCTCTTTAGGGGGAGATCTGAAGCCAAGCCAGCTGCCTTGCAAAATTCCAAGGGCCCCATGCACGTTATAGTCTCTCAGAGCCCCTTCCTCAGAAGTGAGCAGCTCTGGCTTCTTCTGGAACTGGCCCAGCTGCCAGTTTGTGGGAGGAGGGGTGGCGCTTTTGACTGGGGAGGTGGAGGGGGATTTAGGAAAGTACATGACAGAGCAAAATAAAATCATTACCCAAGAAAAATCAAAAACACAAACAGTAAAGATAGAGGCAGAAAGGCCCAGTGAGAAACAGACTGGGGCCCAGCTCTCTCTCAGGGGTGTGTTTGGCGCCCTGCCCGGCACCTGGATGGAGCCCAGCAAGTGCTAATTTCCTCCCCTCCCTGACCTCTTTCCAGTGAGACCCCAGCAGAGCATGAGCATGGCATTGGTCTCATCCCTTCAGTAGTCACGTGGCTTTCCTCTGGTGAGGTGCGTTTGCAGTGGGAGGGACGAGAGAGGAGACAGGCCAGGGAGCGGTCAGCTGTGCAAGTGGACAGCAAGCAGCGGCAGTGGCACCACAGCGTCAGGATGCAGGCGTGTTCTGTGGTGCAGTACCCCTCAGCCCTGTGCCCTCTCCCCTCGTCTGCCATCTGTGCCCCAGGATGGAGGTGCCTGGAGCTGCTCTGGCCCTTCGTAGCTTATTCACTCTCAGTACCACTTGCCAAGACCCCTTTAAACCTCTTGGCTGTTCTTTTTTGCCTTTTCTGATCAGCTGTATTTATTCTGAACTAAACGGTCCTCACTGCAGGATGAAAGGATTTACTGCTCAAGTCTATGAAAAGAACTTTGGCTGCATTACAAGTGCACCCTCTCCTGGCCTCCCCTCCCCAGGCTCCCTCCACGAGCTGGTGCCACGGAGGCGGAACTGGGAGCCGGCTCTTGGGAGTGTGGTCAGTTCAGTTTGGTGGCAGAGCCAACTGGTGGAGAGGAAGTGAGGTGACTTGGACGAGCTTGTTTGGAGGTGCCCGCTCCCAAATGTCTTGCTGTCCCAAAGGGAGAGTAGAGCCCCAGAAATGGCTCACTCCCATGCTTCCTCCCTCACACATTTACACACATTCTCTCATGCTCTCTTCCCACCTCAGGATTGTGCTCATGGACGACGCCATGGACTGCTTGATGTCTTTTTCAGATTTCCTTTTTGCTTTCCAGATCCAGTTTTACTACTCAGGTGAGAGTCTCCTGGGCCCCACGTCCTCCTGCCTGTGGCCCTCTCCATCTGCATGCCTGGCACAGACCTCCCCCCACCCCCCCATCCTTTGGTGGCGTGCTTCAGCAGGGTCACTGACAGGACATCTTACTCCTGCCCAAGGCCACACAATCCCATCTGCAGAGCCCACTCCCTTGGCCTCCTCAAGACGCAGAACACCATAGTGCTTCCGGGCTGCAGCACAACTAATCAGTTTAAGAGATAACGTCAGCCACAGCAACAGCAGTGTACACCCTGGTAACAATGCAAGATAAACTCACTGTTTACCAAAAGCGTGCCACTTGCCAGGCTGAGCACTTAGGGCTTTAATCCTTACTGCAGCCAAAGAGATAGGCCTCTCAGAGATAAGCTTACAGAGGTGAGTTGCCAAAGTCACACAGCTACTTAGTGCTGGAGCCCAGACTTGAACGGAGCCCGCGCTCTGCCGCATTACTGGGTGAGACCTCTGCCCAGGCCCGACACACAAAAACGGGCCACATCTCCCACCTACACACCAGTCCTATTACTCCCACCATGCTCCCCACTATACACCAGCTGTGACCTTAAATCCCTTCTGCAGTCAGGTGGAATAAAAATAGATGAATAAATACAGATGCACACAGCTCTCACAGCAACATTCAGTGGAATGTCGGGCTTAGAAATCCCTGACCATGTCATAAACAAATGCTTTGCAAACAGGCTTTCCAGTAAACAGGCGGCTTTCCCCGGAGCCTGGACATGGCCTTCTTGCCAGCTGGTGGCCCCAGCCAGCCCTGGCCTCACTCAGGCACTGCATTCTGTTTTCTTGATGGCAGCTCTGGGGCCTGGTCTGGCAGGACTGGAGCCTGGGAGCTCACCACCTGCTCTTAGCAACTCCAGGCATCTAGTCCCATTTCTTTTTCTTTTTTTTTTTTTAATTAATTTATTTATTTATACAAGCACTGGGTACAGTCAGAAGTGCGGGAGGGTGAGAGAATTCACCAGAGCCAGAGCGGGGAGCAGAACAGGCAAACGGACTAAGTACACTGCTGAGGGGAGCAGTGGGTGGCAGGAGAGGTCTGCGCGCCATGTGGGACCCTCCTCCGGTGGGAGCAGCGGGGATAGAACCGGCGCTGCAGAGGCTGCGGGCAGCTTCGGAACCCAGCACTCAACCGCTGCGCCACCAGGGAAGCCCTATTCCCATTTCTCTTGAAGCTTTTGTGCCCTAGAGAAGGAACAGGCTTATTTGGGAGAAACTTTCCCCCTCCCTGCCTCTCTGGGCCTCTTCACGAGCATGACAACAGCGTCCCTAGCCTCCCCACATCACCACCGCACTTCCCTGTCAGCAGTGCTTGCTAACGAAGGCTGCCTACAAGTTGCAAACCATTTCAGATGTTTAATAAGCTACAGTCTTGTGTGCTTTCTCTTCCACACTGGTACCCTAACATGCTTTCTTGAGTCGGGCAGGCAGGTGGCCTCATGGATGGGGCTTACCCGTGTGGAGCAAGTACAAATTTGTTCTTTTTTTACACCCTTACCCTCACCCCTTCTGGTTGCTTCAGTTCTGTTATCAAAATCCACTGGTCAGTCTACTATTTTCTTCTTCATTTGTTTTCTTATCTCTCAGATTAGGTGAGGTCCTCCAGTATTTGTCTCTCTTCTGACTTCACTTAGCATAACCTTCTCACATTCCATTTTCCTGCAAATGGCAAAACTTCATGTTTTTTAGCTGAGCAGCATTCCATTGAGTTTCTGTACCCTATCTTCTTTATCCAGTCATCTTTCAGTGGGCACTTAGGTTGTTCCCATGTTTTACTACCATGAGTGGTGCTACAGTAAACATAGGGGTGCATATAGCTCTTCAGCTAATGATTTCCTATTCTTCAGAAGCGGGACTGCTGGATCAAACCAGTAGTTCTATTTTTAGTTTCTTGAGACATCTCCAAACTGTTTTCTAAATGGTTGCCCCAATTTACATTCCCACCAACAATGTATGAGGATTCCTTTCCCTCCACACCCTCCCCAACACCTGTTGTTACAAGTCTTTTGATGTGAGCCATTCTCACAGGTGAGAGATGATATCTCACTGTGGCTTAGATTTGTATTTCACTAATCATCAGTATAAGGAGCATTTTTTCGTGTGCCTGTTGTCCATCCACATGTCCTCTTTGGACAAGTGTATTTAGACCTTCTGCCCATCTTTTGATTGGATTTGGTTTTGTCGTTATTGATTTGTGTGAGTTCTTTATAAATCTTGGATGTCAGCCCACTGTTGGATATGTGATGTACAGTATCTTCTCCCGTTCAGCAGGCTGTGCTTTCATTCTATTCTTTCACTCTGCGGAAACTTTTTAATTTGATGTGGTCTGAACTGTTTATTTTTGCTTTCCTTTCCCTTGCCATTGGGATCACATCCCCAAAGACATCTCCAAGGCCAGTGTCAGAGCGTATGGCCTGTGTTTTCTCCCGTGCATTTTATGGCTTCAGATCTTACATCCATTCACTACATTTTGAAGTTATTTTTGTATATGGATTGAGAGAGTGATCCAATGATTTGGCTGTCCCAACACTATTTGTTGAAGAGACTTTCCTTTCTCTGTTGTTTGGGGGATCTCACTGGTTGAGTAACAACTGCCCACAGCGGGGGACACCTGAACTGAAACACATATTAGTGTCATCACTCATGAGAGATGAGAGACACACAAGGTCGAGGCCCCACTCCCAGGACACTGCACTGAGCACTAACCACTAACACAGAAGGGAGGACCCAGTGGAAGGGATATGTATGTCTTCCCTCCTGACCTGTGCTCCTCTACTGTGGTACTCAGAATTCCTGGAGAGTGTGGCCGCCATCTATCAGGACCTGCTGTCAGGCAAAAACCCCAATACGGTGATTGTGCCAACGTCATCCAGTGGGCAACACCGCCAGCGGCCAGCCTTGGGTGAGGCTAGCACGCTGGAGGGGGTGGAGGCGTCGCTGTTCTACCAGTGCCTGGAGAACTTGTGTGACCGTCACAAGTACAGGTGAGAAATGGCACACAGACTCCCCCTCAACCCTGGGACTGTGGGCTGCTGGCTCTGAGACAGGGCTAGCAGGATGTCCTGGCTGGGAAGGTCATAGTGTAAATAAGATCAGAACCATTTGCCCCCAGACCAGGTCGTTGACTAAAAAGCTTCCTAGGTGCCTTTCCCAGGGAGGATTGTTTTCACTTGAAGCCAGCTGTAGGTGACCAGCTTGTCAGCAGGTAGACTGGCCTTGACTTTCTAAAGAGAAGGAAATAAATTTTCTGTACAGAGGATTTGCCCTACAGAAGGGAAGGTTAGGCTATCCTGTGGGGCACAAGTCCTGTTAGGGACAGAGCTGCCAGTCTTGGGCTCCTCCAAGAAGAGGCTGTCACTGGTTGCCATGTCCCATACCTTCCTCCCACTCCCCGCTGGGAAAGCACCAGTTAACCAGTCTACAGTCAGGCCTGGCTCCTGGAGATCTGCCACACCACCCCAGGGCTCAGGGCCCCCGCGCCGACAGGTCCCTCTGACTCTGGGCAGTCTCATAAACCTGGAGGTAGGGATGGAAAATGGCGCTCAGGCCTGCTAGTCTTTGAATGCGGCATCTGCACTCTCCTCCAGCTGCCCACCTCCAGCACTCGTCAAAGAGGTCCTCAGCAACGTTCAGAGACTCACCTTCTATGGATTCCTTGTGGCTCTCTCAAAGCATCACGGAATCAACCAAGCCCTAGGTAAGCCGGCCTCCCCCACGGCCGCAGAGCCAAGTAGAAACTGGCCTCTGTTGGCAGACAGGGCCCCCAGGGAGGGGGCATCATCAGGGCCGGACCACTAGGTCCTTGGGAGCCGAAATGCACAGAAGACTGTGCCTCTTGAGCCGCCCAGGCTCCCTCCTACGGGGGCAGCCACCTGCCCGAGGCCCCGCCCCAGGGCCCAGCGGCCTCTCCCTGGGAGTCTCCTCTTCTGCCACGGGGAGTGGCCTGCAGGCTGGGCAGAGACAGGGCTCCTCAAGGGCTCTGGAGATTATATGTCAAAGAACCCTGAGTCCCATTGGTAAACAAGGAAAAGGTGTGTCTGGGGAGGTCTTTTTTTCCCAGCTAGAAAAAAAATCTGATTAATCAGAGGGAGGAAGAAAAAAAAGAGGGTGGCTTGCACTGGCCCAGTTTCTCCCGCCCTCTTCACCCTCCTGCAGTCTAGCAGGTTGGCTTCCTCCAACGCCCCCTCCCCCGGGGAAAGCCACTGTCCTTCTGGAGTGTGAGCGGTTATCTTTCTCAAGCGGTATCCAGGTGTGCTGGGGCCCAGGTTCCTAGTCTCAAGGAGACACAGCACGCCCCTCCCTTTGGCCAGCTGGAGGCACGGGCACAGGGTTAGTCTCCATGAATGCCAGTCGCAGTAAGCCAGGCGCGGGGTGTGCTCTGGGGCACACAGGCGGGACCCCGGCAGGACCGACTGAGCCTTTCAGGCAGGATGCCCCGAGTCGATGCTGGAGGCACGCGCAGGGCTGGGAGCCCTCAACTGAGGTTGGGAGCCAAGTTTAACATCAGGACAAGGAGTAGAAAGAAAGGAGTCAGAAGTGGAGAGGGAGGGAGGGGCAGGCGGGCTGTTTTCCTTCACACCCCTGGGTAACCGGCCCCTCCTTTCCCTTCTGCCACCACAGCATCTTGAAGGAAAATTCCCGGCCTCTAGTCACAGCCTGACCCACCTCACCCCTCAGCGCGCGCCGGGTTCTTAAAGGGACAGTCACCCAGCCCGCTGCTTTGGCCCAGCACTGGCGCAGGATGGTCTGTGTCCCAGCCTATGAAGGAGTGATCTGGAGACTGGCACCCTGGCAGAAGCCAGGGCTAGAGAAGGGCTGTCCTGTCCCCTTGGTCCTCCTGTGAGGGGGTTCCATGGGACAGTTTGAAAACCGCTAACATGGAGCAGCAAGGGCCTGGAGGCATCACCTGAAAACACATTGGATGAGGCAGGAATTGAGCCAGAGGTGATGGGTAACTTTAAGATGGAGGCTTTCTAGAGACTGCCGTGTTACCTGCCAAATCTAGGCTCTAACCACCAGTGAGCAATTTTCCTTGACAGTTTGCTGGTGAGAGTCTACCTGCAAATGTCAATTTACCTTCCCTTCCATGTTAGCCACTCTGGACCCTTCTGAGGTCCTGCTCCCACCCACCCTCCCACCCCCAAGAACTAGCTTCCAGTATTTGAGGTAAGGAAGCCAGCTCAGAGATAGGTTGCCTGAGGCCCAAGTCGATTTGTGGCAAAGCATACAAGCCTCCTGATGGCTTGTGACCATGCCAGAGTTTGGTCTGATCTTCACCCAACCTTCTCTTCTAGCCTCTAGGGCCCTCCCTGAAGGAGCTGTGGTAGCGTTTTTGACTATCGTCTCTCCAAGGTGGAGGTCAACCCAATTTGGAGGGACAAAACCAGCCTATTTCCGGTCTTTGATGTTAACCTGGGCTATATCCCGTGTCTCTGGCTCCCTTTTGGCCCAGTTTCTAGGACCTCAAGGAAGGACTAAACCCCCAGCACCCACCAGCTCACACCATCCAAGTCATGGAAGGGGCTCACCTATTTGTGCGGTGACCCTGAGATTGGGGATGTCTTCTTAGCTGTGGTCACCCCCAGTCGGGGAAGGTAGGCAGCAGGATTCCTAAAATTTATCCAGTTGTACTGGCTTGCTCCTCACATGGCAGTGCTCCTAACTCTAAAGCTCCTTCGCGGTCTCTCCAAGCAGCCCTCCCGGGACAAGCAGAATAGGCAGATTTGGAGGGGAGAGCCATGGAGGCCTCTGCTGGGAGTGGGCTGGCTGACAGGCTCCTGACTGGGGGACCCTCCGATTAAGTTCTGTGCCCCCCAATTACCTCCTAGGAGCTTTGCCTGACAAAGGGGATCTGATGCACGACCCAGCCATGGATGAGGAGCTGGAACGACTGTAAGTGTCAGATGGGAAGAGGCCGCCCCCGGTGGGTGCCAGACCTCAATCGGACCTGGCTGTGCCCCATCCTGGGTCACAGTGCCTATACACCCCTCACCAGCTAGGGAAGGGTTTGGGGGCGTGTAGAGCCCTGAGGGACCCTCATTTTGAAAACAGCCCATGGTTTCACCCAAGTTCAAGAGGGGAGTGTGACGGCCCTAATCTCAGAAAGGAGGCATCTCGCTGTCCCCTGGGCTTCTTCCCTCCTTCAGGCTGGCCCAGGTCCCGAGCCTGGTGAATACGGTCACGGCCACGCCAGAGGCCAGCTGCCTGCCTTCCAGGATCCCTCCCCGGGTTGGCTCCCCCTGGAGACCCCTCCATTACGCCCGCAAAGTGGATGCAGAGAGCGATGGTTCCACTGAAGAGACAGATGAGTCCGAGACTTGAGGAGTCTGAAGGATCCCACCTACATCACCCAGTTCCCTGACCCCACCAGGCCCTTGGGACTCCCACCCAACCTCATCTACTGCGCCTTGCCATGCTGCCCTCTGCTGGTGAAAAGACCGAATAACAGCCCCAACCCAAAGACCTGCCAAAGAGGTTCGGATCAGCCAGCAGCGTCCCTAGAAAGTTAACAGCCTGCTCTCCCTGGCCCTGTCCGTCTCTGCGCATTAGTCAGGCTCCACACTGACAGCAGAAGCCTTGCTGAGGGTACTGGGAAGGTGACTGTGGCTATAGCCTTTTGCTGACAGCCCCCGCCCAAGGTTCATCTCCACAGCAACTCCAAGGAGGGCAACACCGTGAATAGCCATGCAGGGCCTTGCACGGTCAAGGGCGACACCTGTGATCCAGGTACTGGGACCACATAACCATGGTGGCTGCCTGCTGGAGGAGTAGCCACTGGCCATAAGATGGAGATGGGTGGGGAAAATGACAAATCCACTTTCACAAACTGCTTCAAGTCTCCTGTGTCTTATAGTCAAACATGTGCAATGAATAAAGTCCCTGTGTCTGGTAAGCGGTGAGTCTAAAGCCACTAGAATGGAGAGGGGGCGAGTTTGGGTTTTGGGTCTCAGTTTTCCTGGCAGAATTGGGAGGTGGGGGCCAGAGGAGCACTCAGCCTGGAGACCAGCCTCAGATGAGGGGTTTGCCTCCTGCACATGACAGCAGCCTTTCAAAGTAAACGTGTGCACAGCTGGAATGGACCTTCAGGAACAAGCTCAGAGCGTTCAAGGCCAGGCTCCCATAACTTTAAAGACCCTGGCCAACGGGCAAGCTCTGCAAAGCCGCCTAGCCAGTATCATTAAACACTGGCCAAGTACCTGCTCAGGGCAGGGCTAGTGGGGCTGCAGCTGTACGTGAGAGACCTGTGAAGCCCCCAGCAGACTGGAGAAACGTGATGGGGTTCTTCAGCTTCCTTGAATTGAGCAGGGATCCTCCAGAAGTAAAACCTACTCGGACCCAAGCAGGGCATGCTGCTTCTCTGAAGCAGTGGACTGTGCCACCAACTCTGGGCACATGCTTTCCTGGGTTCATCTCTGCCCAGACCAAGTCCCCTGGAGAATTACCAATGATTTCAAATATCCTGTGGATGCCAGGCCTGAGAGTTCCGATGCTACTGAAGCTCCAGGTCCACAAGCATCTCCAGCCTCCAGCGGGTTGAGCAGCTGGGAAATGTCACTATGCATCGGAATCACCTGGGAAGCTGGCTTTCTCGCAGATTACCAAGCACCAGCCTGGTGTGGGGCACAGAGACCTGGCTATGAACACCCCAGACCCACACTTCAGAAATCTCTTGGTGCCCCATGGCTCCCCCTCCCATGCCTCCTAATCATTCACCCCTGTAAGGGGGCACAGAAATGTCCCAGAGCCCCTACAGGGGAAAGAGAAAGCCACGCCAGGGGTTTATACACAATCCTCTCTTCCTGGCTATAAAAAGGTTCCAAAGTCTAAAATTTAATTATTTTGAAAATCCACCAAGAGTCACACCCCAGTCAAGCCTGCTGGGGGGATGAGGTGCAGGGCTGCTGTGGTTGCGGCCTGCCTGCAGCCACACAGCTCAGTGGATGAATTCAAGGGCCAACTAATACCAGCTCTTTCCTCCGCGTGCAACAGGGTGGTGAGGTCGAGGCTGCATTGGACCTCGCGGCAGCACAGGGCCGAGGAGCCAGGGGCCCTTGGTTTTCAGAGAAGAGACAAGCTGGAGGCCCTGGAAAGAGTGCCCTCCACGTCAGCACTGAAGCCCTACCCGTATCAGTGGGAGCCCAGAGAGAGAGGCAAGGAGCCTGCACTGGACAGGGAGGCAGGACCCGAGAGGACACTGCTTCATTCAAACCAACAGGGTCCCATGCCCTGTCGGAGCTTTATTTGACACCACTTTGTTTCAATATAAACAGTCCAGAAGTCATGTCCCTTTAGGGGAGGGGGTGTGGGAAGAGTGGTTTGTGTTGGCTGGGAGCCCAACCCACATCCCACAGGTGGGCCAGACTGCCAGCCGGGCAGGGCAAGATGACACAGTGTGTGACCCTCAAGCTCTCATGAGTGAGGAGATGTCCAGGCCCCTCTAAACCCAGGATGATGAAAGTTGAGCCTCTGGAGCCTGCTTCTGTCCCTCATATCCTATGCTTCCTTAGCCAGCATGATGCTCATAGCACCCAGCACAGGGCATGGGCCAGATGAGACCCACAACGGCCACTAAGCAGGGGAAGACAGGACAGTGCGTTCTGGGGCCACAGTGGATGGCATGGAAGGACAGATACCCAGGAGATGCTCTCCTCCAAGCAATCACTGAAAAAAGGGGCACGGAGGCAGGAGATCACTCGGGCCTCCGGTCTGATCACAAATGAAACCTTTAGGTACCAGGTGAAGATTCTAGCCCTTAGAAGGACCCAGATGAAGGTCCGTCCCCTCCCCTGTCCTCTCCTGGAGCCGCAACAGACCACGGGAGCAGCAGCAGCAGCAGCAGCAGCAGCAGATCCAAAGCCCTCCCCCACTCCGGGGGCGGGACTCCAGCAGAACTCCTTCTAGACCTCCCCACCGGTTCCAGAGGACGGGGCCAAGCCCTCAAGCCCCCTGGAAGGATCCCCGAGCCTTACACTTTTCACTTTCCCTGCTTGAAGAAGGGCCGGACCTGGAATAAGCCATGGTGAGAGAATACCCGCCCACCCGCCCTCCCAGTGTGGCAGGACAAGTAAGCAGCAGCTTTGGGGGGCAGAACTGGAAGGACGATAATCTAGAACGCAGGGGATGGAGGGTGGGGCTGAGGGGTGCAGGGAGGAGAATCAAGGGTTCACTCTATAGGCAGAGGACAAGGGTTAGTCCTGTCCATCCCCTCACCCCAGATCCTCAAAGGCCACCCCACTCGCACACCACACAGACAGTAACAATTCCTCCCCAGCTTCTGCAAGGCAAGCATCCCTGGCCCGGGCTCATGGGGTTCTTGCTGCCATCACCACCACGTGCCTGAACCACGGAGCTCGATCAGTAGGAACCATAGCGATCCTGGGGATGGGGAGAGAAAGAGAGTCTAAGAGCAGTGTTTCCCAGTGCGTGCCCTCCCCAAACATGTGCAGGGGGCCCGCAGAGTGTATTCTCTACCTTACTGTGACCCTGGAACAGGGTGGAGAACAGGACGGGGAATTCGGTACAGACACACGGTGCCAGAGGGAGAGGCCAGCCCTGCTCAACTCAAAGGCAGAGGCTGCCGACCAGAAACAGAGCTTTCCCCCCGTAGAAGAGTGCTCTCTCATGGCCTGAGGGAGCCACCAGGAGTAGTTTCAGGATGTGGTCAAGGTCATACTCCATAATTATTCTTAGGCCCCTCCCGTCGCAGGCCAAGAGCCACAGCCTCACCTGCAAAGAATTCATCACACCATTGGCCAGCACAGCCATCTTCCCAGCCACAGACTTGACACCCTGCTTGAACTGGGCAATGTCAGCCGTGGGGAGCACATTCCCCAGAGATACGCTTCCTGTAAAGCAAGGGGAGGGGTGACTCAGAGTCCAGAAGGGAGCCTCCCTTCTCCCGGTCCACAGGGCCCTTCAACTCTGCTCACGGGCCTCACATGGCGTCTGCCACACCACTGGGACCCCACCTGCTCCGTGAGCTCCATCCATGTCCCCAAAGAGGTCTGAAGAGCTGATGGCACTGCTGCCAGAGAGCTGCTGTAGCCGAGATCTGGCTTCATACTGTGAAGAAAGTCAGGCCTGGGCATCTTTTGATCAAGACCTCAGGCCAAGCCACCCTGATGCTAGAGCCCAAGGCCATGGTTGGGTGGAAGCTCCAGCCTCAGCATGGACAACTCTACTTACCTCAGCATCCACCTCCCGCCCAAAGAACATGTCAGATGAGATGGCTTTGGCGCCTGCAAATTTCTGACGGGCTTCACTGGACTCGAGGCCTGAGCTCCGGCTCTCTACCTCTCTCCGGTTTGTGACTCTGAGGGGTGGATGTGGAACAACATCTCTGACTCTTCTCGTCTCCATCAGAGGCTGACAGAAGCATTATCAGCCTTCTGGGGACGGCTCGCCACAGCGTCTCTGGCTGTGGTTCCCTCTCCCTTCTCCACACTGAAACCAAGGCAGAGAGAGCTTCTGTCCCCTCCAGTTTGGAGAGGCCTAGCCTCCACCCCAAACCACTAGTGCCTCAAGGCCTAGCACATCGTGACATCACCACTGCTGCTCTACTCTGAGTTACCACTGGCATTAACACTAGGGCGACCCTGTGTCTTGGTTGGCCTGGGTTTACCTCTACTCTCCTGGCATTATTATTAATAATTATCCCTTCTACCCTCAGAAGCATCCCAGTGTGGATGGAAAAGTACATGGTTACTCCTAAACAGTACTGATACCTACCCTGAGCTGGGTGTTTGTAAGTTTCAGCACACTTAACCCTGCTGACAACCCTGTAAAGTTATTACTTATGTCTCCACTTTATGAAAGAACGAGTCTCAAATAATTTATCAATTAAACATTGCCCAGACTGAGATAGAATAAGCTTTTAAAAACATAACTGAGATGAAGGCCAGAGACACACAAGCTTGGGGAGGAGTGAAACATAAAGTCAGAGCCCTCCTGCCAGAAACAGATCGCAAGCAAGAGGCTGCTACGGCTTCTCTGAGGCATAAAGCACAGCTCAAACCAAAGCTAGATTCTTCCACTATCCAACCTGGTAGCCACTAGCTATAGGAAGCGATTTAAATGTATTAAAATTCAGTAAAAAATAACATGTGCTTTCTCAGTTGCACCAGCCCCATGTGAAGGACTCACCCGCACATTCCCAAGGCTACCACATGGGCAGTACTGCTGCCCCGGCCACCGTACCTCTCTGAAATGGGCCGGATGCTGGAGATGGTCACTTCTGGCTCCTTATCCTCCATCCTGTCCATGCCCCAGGTAGCGTCGGTATCCCAGTGAGAACCAAAACTTTCCCCCAAGGAAAAGGGGTTGTCCTTGTACCTAAGGAGACAGGAGAGTGGCTGAGAGCACCTGCTGAGAACCGCACGGCCAGGCCGGAGGCCCAACAGCAGCCTTACTTTGGGGGTCCGGAGGCGAAAGTACCAACGTCATCAAACAAGTCGAGCTGCGAGCGGGAGGATTTTGCACTCACGGGGGTTTCCTGCTCAATCATCTGCATCTCAGACAGCACAGAGTGGGAGACGGAGCTATGGGAAGAAGCAGAGCCGGGGCCTGAGAGTCTGGTGAGCATTAGCATCGCCAAGTGAGAAGAACTCTGGCACGAAGCTGGGTTCTCCTTCACTGGGCACCCCCAGAGCCTCCCCGTCAACCCCTGCCTAGGGCAGAGCAGACCTCACAGCGAGAGCTGGGCACGGTGGTGAGGTAGACAGCACACCCTCCCTTCCACATCAGCTTTGGTTTCTCAAAGTAGGGTTCCATAGCAAATGACTGCCACCGTTATAATTTAATCAAAATGTGCACCAAATGATAAAGTGCATAGATCCAGTAACTGCTTAAAAACGCAGACCGGCTGCACCAAGAATCAGATCCTTCACTGAGGACACGGACACACAAAAAAGCAAAAATGAAAATGTCCGAAGGACCAGCGAAATGAGCCTAATGAAGTCAAAGGAGTTCTTGATTTTTTTTTTTTAAATGAAGAAGAAAGTGTTCTAAAGCAGTCTTTGACCTTATGCACCAAGAAATGGATTTGCTGCCTGGTTTCCCAATGGGGGCACTGACCTGAGCAGGCAGAACTAACCCAGCCTGTGTCCTGCTTCACAGAGGTAGTTAAAGGATTAATTTCACGTAAATAATCTTCGTTAGGAATAGCTACAGCTGTTAGCTGGCAGAACGCCAAGAAGTGACACCTTGCTTTAGATGGACTGGGCTGGGGTAAATGAGAGATTCTATTATACTGTTTAAAAAAAAGGGGGGGGGGTGGGAAACAGCTGAAAAACTGTTCAGACCCTTAAAACCGGTAACTCTTATATGACCACAACAGTGGGGAGGAGACCTCAAGTCTTTTTGGAATTAAATTTTGTATTTCCCTGATTAGCTGTGGGTCACATTAATATCATACAGACTGAAAGGGAGTAATTAAATTAAACCCAACTGGCACATTTTGAGAGACTGAAATCCCCAGCCTCATCTCCCAGAGAAGTAAAGCATAGTTGCTAAAGATACTGAGTTGGGAATCAAGCAGTTTTATGTTCAAAATCTAGTTCTGCCAATTAGTAGATTTGTGGGCTTGAAGTAAGTTGCTTAATTGCTGTACATCTCAAATTCCTCCTCTGTAAAGCACCTGCTGCACAGGCCTGCCGTGCTCAGTACAGAAGGTCAATGGCGGACCTCATATCCCCCCAAAAGAGCAGCTTCCAGCCAGCACAAGCGGACTGTGGCCAGAATGGCTTCCCCTGGTACTGTCCGGTATTCCAGCATTTAAGAGATTAAAAATCTAGTCTTACTAAAATCTCTAGATGTTAACTCTGAGTGCAGGGAAAACAAAATGCGTTAAGAGAACTGATTTGCACTCTTGTTATTGTTTAAGAAAACCATAACACAAACCCAGTGATCCTGAAAGAGGAAAGATACTGCCTGAACAAAGGGTTTTTGACACGGGGTATTTGGGTCCACCGGTGGGCAGCAGCATCAGTGGCACTGAGTGGACAGGGGCAGGAAGGCTAGAAATCCTGCAATTCTCAGTATCTTGAAAATAAAGCACTATCCCACCCTATGAAGCACCACAGCTCAGTCGCTGGCCAAGAAGAACCCTGGAGTGAAACTGGGTTCTCCTTCACCGGGCACCATCCAGAGCCTTTTCCCATTCAGACACACCATCTAGTCTCCTGGACATGTGGGACAAGTTTCTGATCCTGTGCTTCATTCATTCACAAATACTCAGTGAACAAGGCATTGTGTGCCAAGCACTGTAAGCGAAGCCTCAGAGGAAGCCTAAGTCTAGAACCCTAAACTGCTGAGGTGAACCTGCAATGGTTCACTGCCACACTCCAGAGCTGAGCCTCACCTTCGGGACACCAAGCCCATGCCCAACCTCTCTGCCTGCTCTCGCTTCTTCCCTTCTAGATTCTGTAGCTTCTTCTCCTCCTTCTTCCGGTCAATCTGGAGCTCCTGGTAGGCCAGGCGCATGGAGGCAACCCTGGGAGGGAACAAGGGTGTCAGAGGCCAGCAACCACCTGACCCATCTCACTTCCCACCCAACCCACAGGAGCTGGGGCTCCTCGGGCAGACACTCACATGGACTCTTCTGCCTGTTTCTTGGCATCAGCTGCCTGCTGCTCACGGAGCTTCTCCGCTACCTGGGCCTGCCGCTCAATCTCGCTGAAACTCTGGCTGCTCACCTTCTGGGCCCCTAGGCCTTTCTTGGCACCCAACTGGGAAAAGATGGGGACGCTGCCAACCCAAACCCTCTGATCCCTCCCAGGCATGGGTACTCTAACCAAAACCCTAAAGGGTTCCTTCCTCAAGTTTAGGGTAAAAACCCTGAACCCAGTCAACAGGGTGGAAAGGGAGAGCAGAGGTTCTGCTGGAGCTGGGCAACCCCAGCGGAGACCTCACAGCCTGACAACACTCCTGATGCTGACAGGGCCCAGGACAAGGTAAGCACTAGGTGTGTACCATCTCCCCCCACTCTCCCAGGAGGCCCTGAAGTGGGCACCCTTCAGCCCTTCCACAGGGAAGGTTCAGAAAAGTCGAGTACCTCTGCCTAGGTCGTATCTCCAACCCACTCCACCAAGCTGCCTCTTCCCACCTACCCCTTTTTTAGCTGCTCCTGGCTTCTTCTTGCCAATGAGGGAGGTTTTCAGTTCTGTATGACAAAGAGAATGGTCACAAAAGGGGACCTGAGGCAGCAGCTCGGTCCACACCATGCAGCTTCCTGGCAAGAGCTTCTAAAAAGAACAGCTTCAGGCAGGGGAAGGCAAAGCTGCCACCATCAGTTCCAACCAATGGCGTCCAGGACAGTCCAAGCCAAAGACAGACAAGGCTGGGGCAGATACTGACTCCCAGCAAACTGAGACAAGAACCAAGGCCTGAAGCACCAGAGAGAGTCAAATGCCCTAAAACAACACAAAGACTGCTAGCAGAGGGCAGATGCCAAACACCAGCCTCAGCTCCTACAGCAGGGAGCTGGCGTGCAAGGGGCCAGGCTACCCAAGCAGCTGTTGGTTACCTCTGACAGGAAGGGCCCCTGTAGACAGACACATGGACTCTGGAGAGAAAGAGACTTAAGGCTAACAGAGGGCTGACCACAGAGCTTCCCTATCACTCCCAAGTCCAGAGTTGTCCCCAGAGGCTGCTCGAGAGCCCTCCTTTAGACCAGGCCACACCAGCCATCTGATAGAGTGGGTTTTTGCTGGCTTTCTGCCCTAACTGCCAAGGATCAATAGAATACACCAAGGTCAGCAATGGATTGTTACCCTGAACCAAGTCTGACGGACACTAAGGAAGAGCAGAAAAGAGCTGAAGAACAGACCAGGGACTGGGTCAAAAAGAAGAATGTCACCTCTAGCCAGCAGCAGCTCTGAGCTGTTCCTCATCTGAGGAAGCAGACCAGATAGGCCCATCCTATCTCAGACCCAAGCATTAGGTGTCCAGTGTCATGCTGACCTCTCCACACTCTGACCAGCCCCAGTCCCAAAGCAGATCCCAGCCCATGCACAGCCCCCACCCCCCAGGTTCACTGATTCCAAGGGCCTGGCTCTGAAATCCCTGCAATCAACATTGCAGATGGATTTCAAGCCCCATCCCAGAAAGTCAGATCCTCAGTCTCCTGCTCAGTCCACATGACCAGACAGCAGATCTGAAAAGAGACCTGAGGCTCACCCAGTCACCCCACACCCTAGCTGGCATACTAACCCAGAGAAGCTTTGGGTGAGGTGCCAAGCAGGTCCGTGTTGGGGCCATGCTCCGGCTCTGTGGATGCAACAGTGGGAGTTAAGTATATGGCTTGAAGTTTCCTGTAAACTTCCCTAAGGTAGGTGATGGCACAAGAATAGGAGGCACTGACTTTCCTTAGCTTGCTGTGGCCACCAAAAGATAAAAGGAAGTGGCTCACATCCTCCACAGGAGGAAATCAATCCCAACCCACCCAGAGACTTAGACCCCCATTTCCATCCCCTTGACCAGGTGTCCAATACTGTGTTCTAAGTCCTTTACCAGGAATAGGCACTTGGTTGGAATCTGGGTTGAACTCACGTGCAAAGCCACTGCTCTCCGCACACCAGGCAGGCTGCTGGTTCTCTGCTGGGTCGGTGGCCGGTGCATTCCAGGCAGGGGGCTGAAAAGGAAGCCAGGTCACAGAAGTCTCGATGAGTCACTCCTGCTGGCAAGCAGGACCCAGTACCTTGTGAGTACAAGGATCTACTCCAAGCCCGTAAGAAAGGAAACTGGAGATTAGTAAATAAAAATACAGTTACTACTTACTATGGAAATAAGAAGCAGGAACTAGCAACTGCCTCCACCCCCTCCACTATTTACTTAAGAGTCAGAACTCATCCCATAGTTTAATAACAACTACTTGGCACTTAGTGCATGCCAGGCAAAAATCTAAGGGATATTCACATATAGAAAACATTTAACGAACCACAACAAACCATGCAACGTAAATATATCTCCATTTTGGAAACTGAGGTTTGACCGGTTAAGTGAAATTAACCACTATCATAGGAGTGCTAGTAGAGGAGGAAGAATTCAAACTGAGAGCTTGCCTTCAAGACCAGTGCCAACAGAGAAGAAAAGCTCCTCCCCTGGTGGGTTGCTGGGGAAGGGGGGTCTTTCATTGTCCCCAACCACAGTACCCCCCTTATAGGGAAGAATCCTGACAAAAGTTGTTTGGGGCTCTGACATCTCCTCAAGAAGCTTCTCCCTATCATCCCAGATATAGGGGTCTGTTCCTAAGGAGAGCCACACTGCACCCCCAACTCACCCAAAGAAGAAACACCTGGGTCAACCCAGTAGTGTGACCCAGACATTCCCTGCCTGAAGTATTACACCAAGGCGAATGGAATCCATGCTGTGATGGCAGAAGACCCCAGTCTTGATAAGTAAACTACTCGTCAGAATACAGTCCCTGGGGACACTCACTTGAGTGTGTTCCATGAAGAAGTCAGAGTCCTTCTTCTCCGGGGAGTGGCTGGGGCCACTATTCATATTGTCTATCCAAAGCTACGAGGGAGAGAAGACACCTCTGAAACCCAGGACTCTGAATACTCCCACACCCCTCCCCCCCAGTCCCAGGAAGAGGCACTTACATCGGTGCCATGCCTAGCCAAGGCCGCACTCCCCAGCTGCCGGATCTTTTCCCTGTACATCTGGGCAGCCCGGCTATTATATTTGGTATTGGCATCGTTGGTTGTGCATCCATATTGGCGAAAGAAAGCCGTCTGGAGAGCAAAAAGTGATGGCTACAGGTGATTCTCCCCAGAGCTAAAGAGACACGCCCATTTAAAACAGCCTGCTTATTATACAAGATCGACACTCTGGTGACACCAGCAGTGAGCCACAGACGTCAACTGCCTCAGAAATTCCCACAATAACCGCAGCCTCCCACCCATCGCAGTGACTGATTGAAGTCCAGCCCTCTCAGGGCAGCATGCAATCCCCACTCTGCCCATCCTTCATCCAGGCCAAGACCTGGATGATTACGGAGGCCCCAGCTCCCTTAGCCTTTCTCCAAGAATGTATATCCAGTACAGTTTGAATATGAAGCCCCTTGGAGAAATACAGTGACTAATTTCCAAGTTTTAGCAAATGGTATAGTGCTGGATAGTCTGAATCGAGAAAAAGAGAGGGGCTTCAAGGAAGTCATTGTAAAGTTAGTACCCAGACAGAAAAATGGGGACAGGGAAGATGGTAGGAAGGAGCTTTACCGCATTGGCATTCCCGCCGACCTGCATACACCTCAGCTGGAACCAGTTCCAGTTGGAATCCAACTCTGTGGACCTGTGAGCAAGGGCTGCATGTCATCCACCAGCAGATACCAGTAGACGCTTCCCTGGCAGACCCACACCTGTCATTTAGCCTCGGGCTGCAGCAGGCACCAGGAATCATTAATCAGTCACCATCTATTTCCTCCTCTATCCTGTTCATGAAAGCTTTGCTCTTCACTCATCTACTCTAAAGAGTACTTAATTCTTTTCCATCTAAGGAGATAGAATTTTCAGGCACTCAAAACTTGGTTTTGACTTTCTCCTTAAGGATGGCCAGGGTATCAATTCAGATCTACTAGACAATATACCAACAAGGTCAATGCGGCTAACTTTTCCCCAAACTAAAAGCTCAGTCAAATTTGACCCAGATGCAGAGATAAACCGCCTATGTGGCAAGAGCCCACCAAAGGCTCCCAGATCCCCGACCCGGAGATTTCGGAACACCGGATTCTGAGCGGCCCAAGTCGAGGCAGCCTCTCTCCCCCCTGCTGGGCACACAGCCCCGGCCGGCCAGGCAGAAGCGCCGCAGACGCGGAGACCACACCTGATGAAGCTGAGATGCACGCCCAGGGAGCGGTGCACGCCGGAGCAGTCAATGCACAAGAAAACACCGTATGTGATGCTGGCCCAGCTCGGATTCTTGGCGCCGCAGTCGAAGCAGGCCTGGGTGGAGGAGGCGATGAGCGAATGGTCAGGGGCCTCGAGCCGAGGCTGGACGCTGACACCCCAGGAAAACAGCCCATGTCCGTCCCTCTCCCTCCCTCAGGCCCCGAGGGAGTCTGGGGAGTCCCTCGCGGCCAGCGCCACACCCCGCGCGCCTCCCGCTCACGCACTTTGTTGGTTGGAATTGCGCGAAGCCTCTTAAAAAGAGTCTGGATCTCGGTCTTGCTCGGCTCCGCCGCCATTTTCTCTCCTTCCCAGACGCCACCGCGCCCGACGGATCCCGTCGAGGGCCAATCCCGGGCCGGGGGGCGGGGTCGCCGAGTCGGCCTCGGCGGTGCCCTTGCGGCCGAGGGGTGGGGCGAGCCGTCCCGCTCTGGGCCAATGAGGGGCCGGCGCAACGCGAGCCGTGACGCCAGCCGCCCCCGACCCCACAATGGGCGCCAGAACCACGCCGCCCCGCGCCGCGGCCAATCCGGAGCCAGGGCGGAGCGACGGCTCGCGGGCTGGCCCAAACCTCCCCGGCCCGCCGCCGCCCGCTGCCCCCGAGGGCGGAGCCCGGCCCTGAAGGCGCCGGCTGGTGCTGGATGGGTGAGCGACGATTCTCTCGAGGGCTCACGGTCCCGCCGGGCCCTCAGCACCCGGCCTCAGCCGGCTGCAACCAAGTCTCCTCTCCAGAGCCGTCCATCCCGGGTTAGGGCCCCCAGGTTCCCGAGCAGGGCTCAAGATGACGAACCCTGGCTCGACCCCCGTCCCCATGATACATTCTAGGCCCAAGAACCTCCCCTCGGTGCCGCTCTCCAGATACCGCCGGAGGCCTGGTCAGCGTGGACGAGAGAAAAAAATGCACACAAGCCTCGAGGCTGTTTTGGTTTTTTTTCCCCTCCAAGTTTAATACACACTAGAACAAGCCACAAAAAAGGGTGCCATTAGCCCAGAACTATACTCACCCCAAACACACCCCCAGGAGCCCCCAAAACAGACCAGTAATGGGGTCCATGGCTCCTGAGGGAGACCCAGGCACCCCTGAACCCTTCTGTCACTTTGACTTCCCCACAGTGCCCTCAGCCTCGGTTGGCCCTTCCCTACCAGTCCCTTCCTAGAGGCAGGCCCCTCCCCTCCCCGGGTCCCAGGACCAACTCCCTCCTCAGGGAGGGGGGAGGGGCGGGTGGGCACGATGTTTCAGGGCCTCATGTCCGGCTTGTGCACGAGAAGCTGGATTCTGACTCTGCTTGGAGAAACGTCGCAGAAGGGCTCCCAAGGCAGGTCAGGCCCCCACACACTCCACGTAATTGGCAGGGTACAGACCTATACGGCCACTCTGCAGCTGGCCTTGGCACCAGCCCTGCTCATCTTCCTCGCTCATCTTCAGCAGCTCCTCCCCTGGGGGAAGTGGGATTGCTCACTGCCAATTGCCCTGGCCCAGCCCCTGTTCCTGCATTTGGGTCAAGGACTGAGGGGGAAGGGAAAGTACAGCCCTCAGCTAGGAGAAGAGACATGGCCAGGGCAGAGGGAGGTCAAAGTCAGTAAATCTCTGCACCCCAGACCCTGAATGCTGCAATCAGGCCCCAGCTGGTGACAGACTCTGAGGCAGGAGGGTTCAGTGTAGGCACTGACTCCAAGGGTCAGGACCCAGGGCAGCCTTACAGAGTCAGAGAACTGGCCCTTGAGGAGTTAGGTGTCCAGCTTCCCTTTTTCATACCCCTGCAGGGGCTATTACAGTGGTGTGGTGGGGAGGGGGCTGAAGCCTGGAAAGAACAGAAAAGGGGTCCCAAGAGTACCTGCTCGGAAGCTCAGCTCATCAGCTTCCTGGCCAGCGTAGTCATAGAGTGCCCGTACCCGCACCCCAGTGGCAGCCTTCCGGGGACTCTCCTCATCTGACCATTCCTCATCCTGGCCACTGCTGCAGAGGAGAGGCAAATGGGGACAGATCAGGGCACAGGGAGGACCCTGAGTCAAGAGTCCAAGACTCAGGGCAAGGGCTTACCCCTGCATGAACCCTGGGAGAGGCAGGTGGGGAAGAGTGGAAGAAGATTCTAGTGTGCCAGCTGCCGCACATGCTGGTGAGCTCAGTACAGTTCCTGCCACACAGAGCTGACATTAGCAGTAGAAGAGAGAGAACTTGGGAAAACTTAGCAAATCTAAACCACCGTGAAAGCTGGAGTCAATGCAATGACTCAGTGGGTCCTAAGGTCCCTGGCACCAATTTTCAAACCACTTTAGGTGTGAAGAAAATGAAGCAAAGGAGACAGAGGAAAGGAGGGCAGGTGATAGGGCGAGCTGCCACAGCCAGGTTCCGGTTTCTCACCTTGGGGACCCCGGGGACTGGGGTGGGGGTGCAGTGCCATCTCTTGTGGGCACAATACTGGTCAGAGTAACCTCATCAGGACTCCGGCCACCCTTCTCCTTCCGGCTGATTGCCCTCTGTGTGTCCAAGGACCACTCCTGTGGGGACAGTGCTTCGGGTCACACTGGGCTGCAGGCTGTGATGGCAGTCAGGGCCATCCAGACCAGCTTCACCTGCTTCATGCCAAGCCTCGCCTCCCTCTTGAGGTCCCAACTTGGTCCCACCTCCCAGCCCAAGCCAATCTAAAATACACACCTCAAACTGTGGCCAGTTCATGGCCATGCCCGGCCCGTGGGTGCTGCGCCACCAGCGCAGATCCTCCTCGTCACTGGCTGCCTCAATGCCTTGATGCAGGTCACGGTGGAGTTCAAGGAACCTGTGGCCCAAGATACAACCCTGAGACCGGGCAGCCCTGGCGTGCACCTCCCAACTCCTTCAGCCAAGCCAGAGTCCTAGGATAGCGGAGGAAACCCACCAGTACCCCAGAGCTCCACAGACCGTACGTACCTCTCATTGCTGGAAAGGTCAAGGTGCTGATGTAAGGTGAGCAACATATCCTTAAAGAAGAGAAGCCGCTGGCGCTCAGCAGCCTGGCAGGTCTCAAAGGCCTGTTCCATGTCCTCCATGTAGCGCGGGGTGTAGCGATGCAGCTCTGCCAGCGTCTGCTCGTATTGGGTTTTCACCTGGGTGGGAGAGGCAAGACCATTTAGGACTCCGCTAATTCCTGAACACCCGCCACCGCGGGTTTGACACCAGGGTAAGTCAGTCCCAAGAGCTGGGTCCTGCCCTCAAGGACCCTTGCAACCTACAAGGGAGGCTCTGCAGCTAAAAGAGTCTGGTGGAGAATGAGAAGGTCATCCTTGGGGAGAGTGGGAGAAATCAGAAGGCTTCCTGAAGGAGGTGCGAGCTGAGCAGCAACTCAGGGGAGCATGGAGGAAAAGGTGCTTAGGCTAAGCAGGCAACTGAGGACTGGTCCCAGGTGTGAAAGGAAAGGGGCTGGGAAGTTCTCCTCACTGCAAAAATCATCCCAGTGCCTGAAACCACACCATTTCTTTCCCTGGGAAAAGTATCATCTTTTCTCAGATTCCTCCTTTAAGTGACAATCTGGAGGGAGGGTGGCAGGTGAGGATTAGAGTGGGAAGGGTGTGGTTGGGGACCGCACAGACATTCAGAAAGGCCCGCCCTGGGCCGTGGGGTCCTGTGCCGGTACCTTCTCAGACTCCTTGGTGCAGCGATCCACGCGCTCCTGCAGCTTGCGCACCTGCTCCTGGGAGACGGCGCTGTCAGCCTTGGCGTGGCTCTCCCGGGTCTGTGCAGTCTTCTCCTCCTTCCGGGCTGCATGGTAGCTCTTCTTGGAAGCCTCAACCTGGCACACCCAGGGACAGCTCTGACCCCTGCATGCCATGCCCTGGCCCCCTCCAGGCCCCGGGCGGACCCAGGAAGAGGCCTGCCTCTGTTGCCCATCCCTCCCTGGCTCACCTCCTTCAGCCTCTTGAGCCAGGGCTTCTGGGCCTTGCGAAAGCCGTCCTCCGCGGCCCGGCTCTCGCGGAAGCCACCCAGCACTGGCCGGTGGAAGGCACCCCGCTGCCAGGCACGCACCCGCTCACTGTCCTGCCCCTGCAGTTTCTCCCGCACCTCCAGGTGTAGCGCGCTCAGCCGCTCCGCCGCAGTGAAGAAGGCGTGCCAGGCCTTCTCCAGTGTGCCATACTGAGGGCCTGCGGGGAGCAATGGGACTTGAGCCAGACCCCAGACACCCCTGGAAGAGAGCCTGCCTCCTTTCACTGGGTGCTGCTCTGGGTGCCATGCACTGAGAGAGGGTGCAAAGATGAACCCCAATGACCAGCCACTGATTACTGAATGTCTAATCTGCGCCTTGCCTCACCCACCACATGCAAACAGGGTCAGATCAACACTTAACAGGTGGAAAAACAGAGGCCCTGAGAAATGAAGTGAATTGCCCAAAGCATTAATGCTATGAGTGCAGCTAAGGTTCAAGCCCAAATCTGTTGCGTAAATCACGACAACTCTATTGCCTCAGAGGGAGGAACCATTGTCCATCCTCAAGGAAGGCAGCTTGTGAGCATGAAAAGATCCTACCCAGAAGGCCTGGGCTCCAGCTTCAGCTCTTCTTAGCTGTGTGATTTCTGGCAATTCACTTAGCCTCTCTGAACTCCTAGCCTCTGCTCTTGAAAATGGGGAGGAGAGAACTGTCTCTATCACAGAATTATTAGAAATATCAAAACCCATCTTGACTGCACTTTGCAGACTCTAGGGCCTGACTTTGAGAATAAGCAGGAAAATCCTCCCTCATTCCACAGAGGCAGACCTCAAAGCCTCACACTTCCCACATGAGGTACAAAAAGTAGCTGCCCTGCCTGTCTCCCCACTCTTGGCAGCCCTCTGCATCCCCACCTGACCCGAGCACTGGCTCACCCTTCTCCACGGTGCCCCTCCACTTGCGGGCCCATTCGGCCAGCTGCTGGGCATAGGCCTTCTCTATGCGGGCTCGTTCCTGGAAGCAGCTGACCAGGTCCCCACACAACCGGTGCCCGTCCTCCACCCGCTGCACTGTCCGCCTGTAGTTGCCAGCCTGGAGTGTGCACAAGAAGGGGGGTGTCGCCAGGGAAAAGGCTGGGGCTGACAGCTAGGCTCCTCCCCTGGACAGAGAGGGTGCTACCCCAAATCTAGGATCCAGCTGCTCACCTCCCAGAAACTACCCCCGAGGGCCTCCCCTCCAGCGTCTTCCTCTGGAGCCATGGTGTCCCCGCAGCACGGAATGGTGGCAGATTTAGGGCTGTGGAGGGCAAAGGGTAAGCAGGGAAGCTGGACATACACTTTGGGAAATAGGAAAAGACCTTCTCTTATCCCTGGGCTTTGCCCCCACCCCCATGAGCACCACCCCAGGAAGCGTCAGAGCCAGGACTTGGCAGGCTGGGCCAGGATAGGGGCAGGGATGGCCTCTCCCCCCTCCCCACTAGTACCTGGAGCCTCGCGATCACTTCAGGGACCTGGTCATCCAACTCTCAAAGCTGCCACTGTGATTCTGCCTTGAAGCCAACAAGAGCAAAGCAGGGGGTAAGGGCGAGGGCCCCGGGTGTGCAGGGCGGTGCCCAGCTATATCCCCCGATATAGCAACTGCTGTCAGAGCAGCGGATTCCAGCCAGGGGAATGCCAGGAGAGTCACACGATCCGGGCAGGGATTAGATGGCAGGCGGGGGTGGGTGGTGGGCAGAGGGCCCCACACCCCCACTGGCCGAGAGGACACCTGCCCGACACAGGGCCCTGTTGCCTTTCCTTGAACAGGCGACCCTTTACCAGACCAGGCCAAGTCCAAGGGTGACCAGCCACACCCCAGGCTGGGAAGAGCAGACTGCGAGCCAGGAGGCCTGAGTCCTATCTTGGCCAAGAAGCTTGAACAAATTAGTGCCTTTCACCAGCCTCTCCTAAGGGAGCTGCAGTACCCTGTTAAAATGGAAATCCCACCCTGTGGGCTTCTATTTCTGCCTGATGTAAGGCTCAGACCAGGCAACGAACACAGCGTGAGGGGCCTGGCAGTCACAAGGAGACAGTCTTCCTGTTCCATGGCATCCACTGAGGTCCCAAGGGGCAAGCAACTCAGTCCCACCCTCAAAAAGCTGAGTATGGGGTAGCCAGAGGAAGTCAGACAGGTGTTCAGCCCATTCTGAGAGTGTTCTGCAGAATCTCCAGGGAGGAGCAAGGTGGAGTCCAATGCCAGAGCCACCACCTGGGGCTAGAGGACAAGTGGCCACGCCCCTCCGGCCCCTGACAGGGGTCTCTGCCTCCCCAGCACTGACTCAAGCCCCTACAAGGAAATGCCCAAGGGACGCTGCCAGGCCCAGGAAGACAGTATGTGTGTCTGCTGTCCCCAAAGCAGGCTGTCACAATGCTCCCTCCAAACTTATGAACCCCTACCCATCCTTCAGATTCAAATTGGGCATCTTCTCCACAGTTACCCCTCCGTTCCTGGGCCCACATTTCCACAGCCCCTTGTAACCCCTCAGTCAGGGGACATACCCCATGGGGTTGTGACTGACAAAACTATCCCCAGTTATTGATCGGACTCCCTGGGGGTCCAATTTGTGTTTCTCGGAGCACTGGAGTCAGTAATTCATAGCTGGATGAAAAATGACATCCACCTGAAGACCAGGAAGCCCCTGTCTACAACAGCTGTGAGAGCACTTAGCCTGAGAGGGCTTCCACCCCTCTGCTAAGGGAGAACTCAGGCCTGTGGAGGCCAGTGGAGGTGCCAGGACAGAGAGGAGCAGGGCAGCTGGCCTCGCCCTAGCCCTCAGCTCTTCACCTTGCTTCCTCTTGAATCTGTCCCATTTGCTCAGAAGGACTTGCCAACCGGATGGAAAGAAAAAGAGCTGCAGCTGTAAATCACAGGGCCTCCAAAGCTGTCCCAGTCAAGCAACAGGGCCTGGGCCCCTGCCTGCTCCAGCCTCCATGCTCCCAGCTCCCCAGAGAGCTCCCACCCAGTCCCTCTCTCTGGCCCCAGAACAGTGCAAGCTGTGTGTGCAGGGCTGGCACTGCTCCCTCCAGCTTCCCAGAGCAAACACTGCCCTAGCCCCAGGCACAGCCAGGCCCCACAACCCCAACTTGACCTAGTAGTGGGGGTGGGCCAGCACCCTGTACCTCCTGACCTCAGCTGAGACCCAGAGTCTTCCCCAGAACACATTGTCACAAGCAAGAGCTCAGAAAGCAGATAATGAACATTTCTCAGACCAGGGAGCCCGCACCTATTGGGCCTAGAGAAATCTGGGGTTTGGGAGGGTCTGGTCATTAGCTGCCTGATCCATGGGAGAGAGTCCTGGGGTTCAGGGAAGAGCCCAAGCTCCCCACCTGAGGCTGATAGGTAACACCCCACCCCCCAAACCTGCCCCCACCCTTCCCAGCGGCTAGGGGTATGCCCAGGGAGGAAGCATGGTGCTCCTGCCCTGCCCATCCTGGGTCCTGAGTCACAGGCTGCTCCCCAGGGCCTCATCACCCAGCAGCCACTCCCGGGAGGCCCTCAGCCCTAGGATTGGAAGGCACAGGAGGGGGCTTCGACTGGTCTAGAGCGGAAACCTGGGCCAGAGCGGCTGGAACCAGCAGCCTGAGCGCCCCGGAGGCTGGGGGAGGGGTGGCGCGGGGAAAGAGAAGGAGGCAGGGCCAGGGAGGGGCATAACAAAGGGGCACTTTTGGAAACCCGACCTGCCGGCTGAGGTGCCTGCTCCCCCGATGACGCACTGCGAACCCCGGGCCTCCTCGGAGCCCAGGGGCTGCCCGTCTCTGGCCTCGACCCTTGCGGACGGCGCCCTTCGACCGGGCCCCTCCTGCTGACCAGGCACCGCACCAGCCGGAGCCGGTGGAGCAGACGCGGGCCGGCCGGGCCAGGCCTAGCCATGGAGGCTCTGGGACTTCTCGGCCAAACTTGTTAAACTGGGGTTTCGGCGGGGTGCGGCCAGCGGGTCACCGCTGAGAGAGGGGGCTCGCCAGCCCCGCCGCGGGCTCCAGATGGTGGCCGGCCCGCGGCCCCGGGAACCAGGGCTCTCTGCAAGTGGGCGAAACGTCCCCCGGGAGCGAGGCCCTTTCTGGGGTCCCAGGGTAGGCAGGAGCTGGGCGGTTTGGGGCGCTGGAGGGGCCCGGGAAGACTGGGTGGCTCTCCGCTGTCAACCCCCACCCCGCCCGCCTGGGGAATTGCGGGGCGAGCGGCGCCGCGCGCTGGGCACCCCGGGCTCGGCGGCAGCTCCCCCCGTGCGCGCGGGGCGGGGTGGCCGGGGGCGCCGGGGGCGCCGGGGGCGCGGGGCGGGCGCCGGTCCCAGCGCAAACTTCGCGCGCGCGAGCGGAGGGCGGACCCGCGCCGCCGCCCCCCGCGGCCCGGGCCACACTCACCGCGGCCTCCGGGCGCCTCGCGGGTGGGGGTCCGGCCTCGCGCCGGTCCGAGTCCTGCCGCTCCCCGGCCCGGCCGCCGCCTCCCGGAGCGCGCCGGGCCCTCCCCCGGGAAGCCCGGCCCCCGGCCCCGCCCCCGCCCGCCCAGCCCGGCCCCACCGCGCGGCGCGGGGCGAGGGGCTGCGGGCGGCGCGGCGACCCGGGGCCGGGGCGCGGGCCGTGGGGCCTCCGCTCGCGCGCGAGGAGCGCCGGGGCCGGCTCCGGGGCCGCGCCGCCGCGGGGGGTCGGTTTCGGGGCGGCCCCTCCCCGGCTCCGCGGAGCCGGCGAGCCCCGTGGGGCGGCGGGGGTCGGGCCCGCAGCCCCGGGGCACACGCCCTCCGTCTTGCCCTCCCGAGCACCCCTTCTCGCAGACCAGTCCTGCGGGGCTCGCCACCGCCCCTTTGAGAGTGCGGGGAGCCCCACTGCACGCGCGCGGACGCCGAGGCACCGGCACCTTCGGCGCCTGGCGGGAGATGGGCGGCGGGGCCGGGCCGGGACCCCAAAGCCACCCCTTTCCAGACCTCGGGGGCCCCTCTGAGGCCTGGGAGAGACAGGCGGCGCGGGGAGGCAGAAAAGCCCGAGCTCCTCTCCCCTGCGCGCTCTCTGGCCCCAGATTTTGCACTAGGGCTCATTCTTCAGTGCTGGGGCTCCTCCACCTCCTTGTCAGTCACTCGCCTGAATAAATTTTTCCAGGTCGCCACGATGCCACCCCACCCTAACAAACCCTTCTTCTTACCCCTCATCCCGGGCATTTTCGGAGCCTGCGGTCTGTTATTTATATCCCCTGGAGCGGCCCAAGAATGTTCCCGGGCTGACCTAATCGCCACCTGCTCAGCTTCTCCATCCCTCCCCGACTCCTTCGGGGCCCGGTGACCCAGCGGCGGTGCCCTCGCCCGGCAGGCAAGGGGGGCGCGGGCCCGCGGGCCCCACGCTCGGCGCTGGGAGGGTCTGCCCCGCGCTGAGTCAGTCACCCGGGTGGGGAGGCCCTGGCGCAGGGGCTGGGGCTCCCTCGGGGGACCAGACTAGCGCTGGGAAACCCGGCCGCGCTGTTCCCTCTCCTGCACGTTCTCCCCCCACCCCCGCCTCCCTGAGGAGTGCGAGTACGTGTGCGTGGATTTTTAAACAGCACTTTTAAAAATAGCAAAACTGCGTTGTTTCCAGATCCGAGAGGAGTCACCAACACGTTCTTTATGCCGCTGAATCTGCTCCTAAAGCGGGAGGGGACCTGAAGAGAATGCAGGGGCGATCCAGGAGGTCGTGTTAGCTCCTAAGGGTCACTTGCTCCACATCCTGCGCGGGGAGAACTTGCCTATGGGGCACCCCGGGCGCCCCCACCTTTGGCCTGAGGACTCTGTCCCTTTTGACAAATCATACTAAGTAGTGAGTGAATCCCTGCCTTGGTGCTCATGAGGGTGTGTACCCAGCAGCGTGTGGTTTCTGAAACCAGTTTCAACACCCACACTCTGTTGGGGCTGGGACCGGTCCCTTTTCTCCCGATCTCTGTTGCTACCTCCATAAAACCTGACCGGTGACCTGGCTGACCTCCCAGCTAATTAATGATCCTAAAAGACCTGCAAATGAGAGGCGCTAGGCTAATGTATAATGACAGCCATACAGTGTTTTTGTGTTGTTTAAAATCAGTTAATGTCCCACTTAGTTCCTTGGGGCCTTTAGGCACCTATAGAAAAAATGTGAAAACGGAAGAATGAAATTAATTACAGAAGCCACCTATTAAAATCCCATCAGAAATAAAGACTGCAAGCTGGGATGTGGGAAAGCCAGGCCACAAAGAGGCTCGGAAAGCAGGAGAAGGGGATACCAAGTGAAAGTTTCAGATCTGGGTTCAAATCTGGAAGCAGAAAGCAGAAATGTGGTAGCTGATCTGAATTGCCACAAAGGTACTGTAAAGAGCAAAAATAAAACAAAACCCAGAACAAGTTAAAGGTGAGAGGAGAGTGCTGCCCTTGGAAAGCCACCCCCCAAGAGGGCTGCCTCCCAGGGCTCAGATGTCACTATCACAGCCAGGACAATTCACAAGGCTCTATCAATGCTGTGTCCAGCTTTGGTGGAGTTCAAGGTAGGAGGGCGGGATAGACAGAAACCTAGAAAGGCAGGTTGATTTAGAGCAGCAGGTAGCAGATTGGTCCAGAGCCCAAGCTCACAACACACTCAGACTCATCTTGAGCTCCTGGAATGTCCTTACCACTTTGCCTTCATTTGTTTACTTATTTATTCATTTATTCCTCTGATCAAGAAAACACTTGAATTTCTTTCTGGTTTTTTTTTTTTTAAAGATTTATTTATTTACGCATACAAGAGCCTGGGTGCAGACTAGAGGTGCGGGGGAGGTGAAAGACCAAGTGGGGAGCAGAACAGGCAGATGTACCGAAATACGCTGCTGAGGGGAGCAATGGGCGAGACAGGATAGGTCTGCTGTGCCATGTGGGTCAGCTCCCTGGCCAAGGGATAGAATTGATGCTGCAGTGGCTGCGGATGGCTTCATGTGCTGAGTCTTAACCCCTTGTGCCCCCAGGGAGGCCCCGAAAACACTTGAATTTCTGCTCTGTGCTCAGTGCTCTGAGTATACAAAGTGTTGGGCATACAAAAATAAATAAAGCAGAGCTCCAATGCTTTAGTGCAGTGTTGGATAGGAAATACCATGGGGAAAAAGAGGCAGAAGACACCACCTTTTACAAATCCATGAAACTCAACTGATCGCGATGAGCAGGAATTAGTCATGTGGAGAGGTATTCTGGGAGGGAGCACCAGGGTGTGCTGGATCCCAGAAGTGTGAGCACATGACTTGGTGACCCAGCATTTTTGATATCTACCCTAGACAAACATGCAAACAGGTGCAGAAAAAAATGTACAAGCATGTTTGCATGTGGTACTATTTGCAAGAAGGGAAAATTGGAAACAAAAATCTATCAAGAGGTTGAGTAACATGAAGCTCATTCATGCTGTGGGTGGCTCTACAAAAAAAGAACGAGGTCGATAGAGAGCTGTCCTTAAACGAAATGAATGAATGAAAAAGCAAAGCGTGGAGCACACAAAGTATATAGATGGGAAAGACACCAAAAGGTTGGTTATCTCTAAAGAGGTCTAGACCTGGGAAATGAGAGTTTTGTAATGTTAGAAAGTTTACAATGAGAATGTACCCATATGTAAATCATGTAGTAAGAGTTTTTATGAGAGACGGTGATTGGGTCTCAATAAATCAGAAGTTTTCTGCAATGATAGACATAGTCTATCTGTCCTTACCACTGTCCAGCATGGTAGTGTTACAGGGCAACCCCGATATAAAACGGGTTGCCTGACTGTGGGTCCTCACCCACGTGCTTAAAAGGGACTTAGTAATACTCCACTGCAGCACACACTAAAGATTTATTTACAAGGGAAGGGAAAATGAGGAAATGTACAACTCAGGGAGAAAAGAGGGAGATAAAGTCTTAAATATGTCCTACCCTATCCACCGACCTGGAAACCCAATGGCATGCTGAGAGCTGGCGGGGAGCCAAGAGCCCTGAAGCCAAGAGACCCCCCCCCCAGGCCCACATGTCTGGTTTTATACCAGACCTGGCTGCTTAACTCCACCCTCAGGTCCCAGCCATCTTCCCTTTGGTGGTGACAGAATTTGTCTTTCCCAACGTCCTGATGGCTTTGGTCTGGAGTGGGGGTGGCGTCCACAAAGCCTGTGTGGAATTAGCTCAGGACATCCTTTCCCCCTAACAATTGAACAGTCCAGTGTGGTAGCTACTGGCTACATGCAGTGGCTGGGAATTTGAAATGTGACTCCTGTGATTGGGGAACTGAATTTTAATTGAATTGTAATTAAAAGTATCTAGCAGTCACATATGGCTACTACAGTATTGACCCCTGTGGGTCTGGAATATTTTGTATGAGTTCTGGTTGGGTGGAGAGGAAGGGGGAGGGGGATGGAAAGACGGGTTAAGATGGAACGGTGAAGGGCCTCCCCGGTGGCCTAGGGGTTAAGGCTCAGAGCCATCACTCCCATAGCCTGGGTTCAATCCACAGCCAGGGAGCTGACCCACATGGCGCCACATTACCCACATTACAACCTTTTGTAATGTTAGAAAGTTTACAATGAGACTGTACGCATATGTAAGTTGTGTAATAAGAGTTTTCATGAGAGATGGTGAGTGGGTCTCACCAGAAGTACGAGCAGACCTCTCCTGACTCGCCCGCTGCTCCCCTCAGCAGTGTATTTCAGTAGATCCACCTGTTCTGCTCCCCATTCTCTCTCTGGTGAATCCTCTCACAACCACCCCCCACCCCCACACCTCTGGCCTACACCCCAGTTCTTCTACACAAAAAAAAAAAAAAAAAGATTGAATGGTGAAGATTTGCAATCTGGGTTAAGGAATTTGGACTTTGTCCTATAGACAGTGGGAAATGTGAATGGGAGTGATTAGTTCGGACTTATCCTTTAAAAGATAAGTCTGGCAGCCTGCAAAAGGATAGATTAGAGCAGGCAGAGGGCTGCAAGCATTTTGTCTCTGCGGAAGGCCGCTGTGTTTCTCTCCATGGCCTCTGGACATTGCCCCAGCATTCCTGACGGGCAGCTGAGTAAAGTATTCTGATTCAACAGCTATGTTTTTAAGATCACCAGCAACCCCAGGTGGAAAAACTGGTCTGAGATATTGAGAGGGGTTAACCTCAGTGGTGGAGGCTGTTTCTGGGTTAGAACGCAGGAAGAACAGCAGATGGATGGCATTAGAGCGAAAATGCTTAGCAGGTTTCAGAGTGAGGTCTATAGGGAAAGCTTGGGGGAGGGAGGCAGGAATTTGCCCCCGGCAGATTCTTTGGAAAGTACCAGGGTGTTGCCATTGCAGTCTGGGTTTCAGCTCCCCAGGCCAGAGAAGGTTGTGCTCAGGGAGCCTGACTTGGTTCATTTAGCCCCTTCCCTGAAGTCTCTAATGGGGGTGCAGGTGGGGTGGGGTGTCCTTGCTGGTGGAAAAGGAGCTCTAGTGGAGCTAGAGCAGACTTAGCAGACTTTCAGGCGCATCCAAGACAACAGACACCATGCTGGGTGCTTGCTTCAGCTGCAAACTAAGCAGACACACTCCTGGACTTTATAATGTTTCCCACTAAGCTCAAATAAATGTCTGAATCCATAATTACAAAGTGTGCTAATGTTGACCTGACTATGGGTCCTTACCCTTGTGCTTAAAAGGGCCTTATAATGAGACTCAACTGCAGGTACATACAAAAAGGGGTAATAAAGGGTTTATTTACAAAAAGGGGAAATGAAGAAATGAATAACTCAGGGAGAAAGAGAGAGAGATAAATTGGTGAATGCACCCTGCCAGCTCTGTTGATCTGGAACCCCAATAGCATGCTAAAAGCCGGCAAAAAACCAAGTGCCCCCAAGACCTATATGTCTGGTTGCGGCAGCCTCTGCCCCTGAACGCCAGTGAACTTACTGGAAAGAGGGAGGCTTTCACTCAGACACATCCGAGTGAGTAAGACCCCCTTCCCTGTGCGCTGGACTGGACAGTCAATGACGGGTAAGATCGGGGGCAGACTAAAGAAGGCACTGGCCAGCCTCATGTCTGTGACTCCTGACGACCTAAGACAGGCGCAGTCCCCGAGGGGCTTCATCATGATAAACTTTGGCGTTCAGATCAAACAAGGCACACATGCCTATAAGCCTAATTTAGGCAACAAGCCGCAGTAATTCACCCCCTTTGATGGAAACAAGGCTGCTAAGAACGTCACCTGCAAACAAGCCTGATGGAATTACCTACAAAGCAGTTTTACCATTAATCAAATAGCCATTGTTTCAGAATAAGTAGCAACCTAGCAACCTGTCTATAATCATACTACTTTTTCACTTACTTTGCTTTTTCCTTATATGTGTACAATCAGTTTCAGGAAATGCA